ACAGCACTCCAGCCTTACAAGGGGCTTTTGGGAAACTCCATGGAGCATTCTATGCTGAAAAGCCCCGGTGAAACTCTGGCCAGGAGGGCTTTTAGGGCTGGGGCACCTGAGGAGGTGGTCAGCACGAGGGTCAGCACAAAGGGACGGCTCAGGGATGAGGGCGCCAGCTCTGGCCTGAGGAGGCAGAGCCTGACTATGAAGGAGCAGGCCGGCTCCTGGTCTTAGACCCTGGGAACCAGGGACAGTGAGCGGAGGGCAGGTGAGAACCCAGGGGACAGGCAGCCATGCTCAGGGCTCCTAGGACTGGTGCAGAGAACAGGGAAGGAAGATGCCAGCATGGTGACTGCAGGTCCATTCTGATCTCGGGCTGGCGGAGAAGCGCTGTAGGAGAGCTCAGAAGCGCCGCACAGTGATGACCAAAGAGGGTCAAAGACTTGTCTGATCCAAGCTCTCGGGGGCTCCTTCACCCCAGAGCACCCTCAGCACAGTGCAGTGTGAGCACAACTCCTGCTGGGTTCCAATCCTCGCACCACACATGCGAGCCTGTGTGTCATCTTGGCCTAATTACTCAACTTGCTAAGCCTCTGTTTCCTCCTCTAGAAAGCAATAGCTTCCTCTTGGGTGCAGCTGCTGTGACAATACGTGCAGTGGGTTCACGGGGCACAAAGCCAGGCACAAGGCCAGCCGGCTCCGACCTCCTGATCCAAGTCTGAGCACGTCACTGCTGCCACACCTGCCACAGGGAAAACAGACTCACAGGTCTGAGCAGCTCAGCCACACGGCCATGGCAGGAGCACGCTGGCTGGGACTCCCACCTGAGGGGCCTCCCCCGCTGCTACCAAGGACCCTGGGGCGACTGTGCCGGCGCCCAGCAGCCGGGAAGCCCAGGGCACCAGCCCAGCTGGCCCGACACCCTTTGGGACGCCTTGTCTGTCGCACAGGCAGCACTCCCGAGCGAACCTTGCATCCGTAGGTCACCTTCTTGGCTGACACAGGAGAACGTTATCTATCAAGTCACTCAGAATATTAGCCCAACAGGGAAGTGGGCCTGCAGGTCCTACCTTACCTTCCGGACAGTATCTCCTGCACACAGTAGGGACCATGGGGGAAAGTCAGGAGGGACCAGGCCGCAGGGCGGGAAATGGAAGCGGTGTAATGAGCAGCTCTAATGCACACACAACCTCCAGAAGGATGTTCTGTTTCCAGGGAGGGAGGCTGGCGAAGCAGACGCCCATGCTGCTTGCCCGGGAACGGGGCTTCTGCTGGCTCTGTCTTTCTGAGAGGGAAACACCTGCTTTCCACGCAGCAGCAAAGGGAACAGAGGACACACTGCCCTGCTCTGACCTCCCTGCCGGACCAGGCCACGTGGGACCTTTGCAGTAACGGACGGGTGGGGCCTCAAAGAGAAATCCACTCCCTTTCCATCCACCAGTGGCCACCACCCCAGGACCCACACAGCACATCTAAGAGCCCCGCAGGATGCCTTTCTCCTGCTGATAACACGCTGACACCAAAATGTTCCACAGCAAATTCCAACTCGGTAACTTCTAGTGAAACACTTAAACCGAGACCTCTAGGGTTACAAAGGGAAAGAAATGGTAAAATCAGTTTGATGTCTCACTACTTCACAGCAGGAAAACCCTTCTCTTATCAGAACAATGCACTTACCTTTTTAAAAATTGCTTTGAGAGAGGGGGAGGAAGAGCAATTTTTGTTATTCCGCTAGTTTATGCTTTCATTGGTTGATTCTTGTATGTGCCCTGATGGTGACTGAACCCGACATCTTGGAATGTCACGATGACATTCTAACCAACTGAGCGACCCAGCCAGGGCCCTGTGCTTCTCATTAAGCCACCCTCCTTCCTGTCCATGATGGGTGGGAAGGCCTGTGGCTACCCAGGGACCCAGAGGAGCCAACACCCTACACCTGCAGAACAGCAGGGCCCACAGGTGGAGCCGGGGGAAAGCTAATGCAGCCCCTCTCCTGCTGGCTTCCTCTCCCAGCATCTGCCCTCTGCACGCAACTTGAGGGCCAGGGCTGCCTTGCCCACCGCGTGCTCCCCTGCCCCCAGTCAAATACACTCTGTGTGACTGCTCTGGGGATAGAAGGGGAGGCAGGGACGGCAACAGCGAGCAGACAGGATCTGGGTGCCTAATGTAGCAAGACATACGCTCCCAACCTCTCTGCCGGCTGAGCTCTAAAAAGCTTAAGTGTCAAAGCCAGCCAGCAGGGGACTTCCCAGCACTGGCGGAAAGAGCTCTTTCTGAGTTCCCTTTTCCGTGACAACAGGGGCCACAGAACCCTAAACCCTTTCCCTAAGTATCTTCACTCCGGCTCTGAAGGTCACACTGAGGGCTGCATTCTGGGAAGATAAGCCTCTTTGTGAGCTATTGTCCTTTATGCAAAGATACACACAACTGGCCGCGGGGGCTAGGAGCACTGTGGAAGCCCAGAGGAGGCCCCGTCAGAAGCCCCTCCGTTCACTCCTCCAGGTCATTGAAAAGAAAGCTCTATACAGGTTCAAAGAAAGTCCCTCTAGGATAGCTCAACCCTGGAGGGAGATTGAGAATAAATCCCCTTTGTGGGACTCTTCCTTTAAGAGTAACTGATTCAGCTTTTCTGGCCTTATTTTGGCAAATGTCAAGGCTTAGGCACTTTCTTAAAACCACATGCTGACCTGACAAGCTCAGGGGAGGCCTGCATGGCAGTCGTGCAAACTCAGAGACCTAAAGTAACCACAAAGGATGGTCTGAAATGAAACTTTAAAAGCAGTATGGTGGGCAGTTATGTCCTAGGCCGGTGTCTTCACTCACAAGGTCAACCTTTACCTTAACTGAGCCTATCTGTCCTTTTGCATCTATGATAACATACCCTTGAAATGTTTGGGTAACTTGTAACTTCCCTTTTTCTGGAGCCCCTGGGGCACAACCAAATGTGCGGGGGCGTCAGGACAGATACCACAAATTCCTTCATTATCATGTTAGATGTTCCGGCACCCACCTAAGTATGTGTCCATCATTTTACTTTCTATCCAATCCCAGGGGTTTCCCCACTTTGCTTTATCCCTCCTCCTTAATCTATCACCAATGGATTTCATGTAACCCTCCTACATCCCTCCTTTGACTGCAATGTATAAATACAAATGTAACCCGCCATTCTCCGGGGCATTATCTCAATTCGTTGAGGTTCTACTTCCCGGTATATGTGGACAGTTAGGCTCAAATAAACTCACAAAAATTCTTTACAGGTTTCAATGGGTTGTTTTCTTTTACGTTAACAGCAGGTTGGAACAATAACAGCAATAGGAGAAAACTGGCCCTGGCCTCTTAAAGGGGCCCCTAAATCTGCTCCTTGAACCCCTAGGATGTCATTACCCTTGGGTGGAGAACCTAGAAGCTTAAGACAGAGCTAGAGCAAGTCAGGAAGCTCTGATGCAATCCTATAGGCCGGGGACACAGGCCTGGGAAGGAGGAGAGGCAAGGTTTGCCAGCACCAATGCCTGGGCCCCACAATCTGGGGTGATGGGAGACTGACTATACGTACAGATCTAACCTGACATCCTCTGACCTTTACAGCAGACACACACGACCCCCCAAACCCCAGGCTGCTGGCTCCAGTGCTGAGCAGGTGTTTCCCTCTCAGTGTGCATCAATGCTGGGCAGCCCCGGGGAAAGGGTGCAGGAAAAACCTGCAAGTTGATGGTTAAACAAACTTCCCTTGTCCGCAACCCCTCTCTGAGACTGCCCTCCTTCCATTTTCAGTTTGCAGCTGCAGGCTCCCCCCCTGGCCTGCCAGATATCATCTGCCTGCCCTCATGCACCTCTAGGCCCCAAGCTCTCCTCCCTTCTACAAAAGGGGGGCGGCGGGGAGAAACAGCAGAAACAGAGCCCAGTTCAGGCGCATCCTGAACCAGATTTTCAGAAAAGCTTGGCAAAATCGAACCAGGAGCTTACAAAACTGAATGGGTCTGGTGCACTAAGACTCAGCACAAACAACGCTCAGGGAGATTGCAGACATTCAGGCAATTTAAACACATTCTGCTAGCCCAGGGGTCCTCAAACTACGGCCCGCGGGCCACATGCAAATACAAATATTGTATTTGTTCCCGTTTTGTTTTTTTACTTCTAAATAAGATATGTGCAGTGTGCATAGGAATTTGTTCACAGTGTTTTTTTTTTAAACTATAGTCCGGTCCTCCAACGGTCTGAGGGAACGTGAACTGGCCCCTTGTTTAAAAAGTTTGAGGACCCCTGCGCTAGCCCCTCAACATTTAGCCAATTCCTGCCAGTCTCCTCTTGGTAGTCTGCTAGAGTCCAACTGCTTTCCCACGGGCCTGCAGGGCTCACTGGGAATGCATATGGTGTTGGGAGGCAAAGCTTTGAAACACAAACTAAGGTGAGTGAGCCCAGCCAGGCCGGCGGGCTCAGTGGTTGAGCATCGACCTATGAACCAGGTCACGGTTCAATTCCCAGTCAGGGTGCGTGCCCGGGTTATGGGCTCAATCCCGTGTCGGTGTGCAGGAGGAAGCAGGTCAATGATTCTCTCTCATCACTGATGTTTTTAACCCTCTCTCCCTTCCTCTCTGAAATCAATAAAAATGTAAAAAAAAAAAAAAAAAAAAAAGTGAGTGAGCCCAAAGAGCCAGGGGCTGGCTGAAATACCTTGGAGCCCAGATACTAAGCAATTTCCTATGACCTCACAGCCAGCCTGCGGCCCCAGCTCCAGTCCTGCCTTCCTTCCCAGCATGCCCCAGGGGCCGGAAAGCACGAAAGCCACACACTGGCTGTGGTTTCACCGGTGGCTCTTGTAACCTCAGCAAAGGAGCCAAGGGAGGAAGGAGCGCCTTGGCTCGGAGAACTGTGGACACAGAGGGCGCACGGGAATGGGCTCTCCCTTGGGCTGGGACAGCCCTCAAGGGCAGCACCTGGTCTGCATCGCAGACATCAGATGGGAGAAGCCCGACCACCAGAGGTGCCCTGGGCTGTGCCGGTCTGTTTACCTCTGCTGGTGCGCTGTTTCTCCCCGGACAGGATCCCGGGCGTGTCGATGATGCTTATGCTATCCAAGACCGGGTTGGGCAGCTGGGCGCACATGAACCTGCACGAGCAAGAGCCAGAAGAGAGAGGTCAAGACTCAGTTATCGCCGCTCCAGAGGGCACAGCGGTGCTTTCGGTGCTTCCTCGCCACCTCCGCTTCCTTTCCAGGAACAAGAAACTTAAAGGTTTTCTATCAGCTCAGTGGCCGGGGTGGCCAGCAGGCTGCACATGGGCTCCTAACGGATATCCAACCAGCAGGCTCAGACTGACCCACATCAGCACGTCCCTCACATTTAGCTTCCCCCCCCAGTTCAAGAGTTCAGCACTCAAGTTGCTGACATGTTAGCATGAGCCTAGGTCACCATTCAACCACTGGCTACACTTCTTTTTAAAAAATGTTTTAATTTATTTATTTTGTTAATCCTCACCAGAGGATATTTTTTCTACTGATTTTTTCTAGAGAGTGAAGGGAGGGGGAGAGACAGAAAGGGAGAACCACTGATGTGAAAGAGACACATAGATTGGTTCCCTCTTCTTTTTTAAATGTATTTTTATTGATTTTTTACAGAGAGGAAGGGAGAGGGATAGAGAGCTAGAAACATCGATGAAAGAGAAACATCGATCAGCTGCCTCCTGCACACCCCCTACTGGGGATGTGCCCACAACCAAGGTACATGCCCTTGACCGGAATCAAACCTGGGCCCCTTCAGTCCGCAGGCCGAAGCTCTATCTACTGGACTCAAACCGGTCAGGGTGGATTGGTTCCCTCTTGCATGGGCCCTGACCGGGGGCCAGGAATTGAGCCTGCAATGGAGATATATGCCCTTGACCAGGAATTGAACCCGCAACCCTTCAGTCCAAGGGCCGACGCTCTAACCACTGAACAAACCGGCCAGGACTGGTTTTTATTGATTTTAAAGAGAGAGGAAGGGAGAAAGAAACATCATGTGAGAAACACTGATTGGCTGCCTCCTGCATGCCCCCTAGAGGGGATTGAGACTATAATCTGGGCATGTGCCCTGACAGGGAATTGAACCAGCAACTCTTTGGTACATGAGACAATGCTCAACCAACTGAGCCACACTGGCCAGAGCACGACTGGCTACATTTCCACGCACCAAAGAGAGTAGGTCTTTCCTACTGCTGCTGCCTTTCCCAGCCCTTCCCTTCCACCCAGCTCCTTGGGGGAAGGGACTGCAGTGGCAACCAGGGAAAGCTGGAGGACCACACAGGCTGGTGGTGGGCAGGGGAGGAGACATCATTCTCTGAAAGTCAAAGCGTGCAGGAGGCAGCTGATCAATGATTGATGTTTCTATCTCTCCCTCTCTTCCTGTCTGAAATTAAAAAAAAAAAATTTTTTAAGTGAAAGAATGAAGGCACAGAGAGGCTAGCAACTCATGAGTGAGGACTTAGCTGTGTGTGCCTAAGTTCCCGCTGGACTTAGAATAGCAAGGGGGTGTCCCAACTGGAGCAGAGATTCTTGATTAGACACAGAAAAGGCTCCTTTGACAACTTCTCTGGAAAAGGTATTGTGAGCAAAGAAAACACTGACCCAAGGTCTGCAGGACACCGGCTTAAAGCTGCCTTTCCAACAATTGGGAGGAATCTGGCTGATCAGCTTCCCCTTTTGGCCCCACCCCCTTGGTGACCAGAGGCCCCAGGCTAAGGGTGAAAGGTACTGCCTGCAAACACAACAGAGCAAAGCCAGCTGCCCCACAAGGTGAACAAACCTTGGACCTCATCCTCCCCAGCGCCAGCAGCAGAGCCGCGTGCTGTAAACAAGCGTGTGCCAGACCTGGGGCTCCTGTTGGGGAATGGAGTCACTGGAGAGAAGACCAAACTAAAAGGATCGGAGTAAAGCCGGCTCTGGGTGGTCACATACAAAATGCCTTGTAGCCCTGGCCATTGTGGCTCAGCTGGTTGGGTGTCGTCCAGTGCACTGAAAGGTCACTGGTTCGATTCCTGGTCAGGGCACGTACCCAGGCTTGATCCCTGGTACGGGGTGTGCAGGAGGCGGCTGATTGATGTCCTACTCTGGCATCGATGTTTCTCTTTCTTTCTCTCTCTCTCGAAATCAATTAAAAATCTTAGAGAAATAAAGCCTTGCACATGAGCCTGGCGAGTGCATTAACATGCTCTGTGGCGGAAGCACTCAGGGGAGCAGGCGGTACAGATGCATCCCATCCCATCTTCTCACCAACAAGAATGCACAGATCTCACTTCACACTACCGGTGGGTGGGAACGTCACACAAGGAGTTTCCACAGGACCATCTTAGGACACCCTGACTGCCCTGCCTCCCTCAGTCAGCTCCATCTGATTTTGGTCTTAAAACAGCCACTTAGGGGGGAAAAGATCGGAAAGTCAAGTTCATGACTCAATGGGTCTCTTTAAGAGCCCTGGGAGAGGCTGTGCCAGCCAGAGAATTGCCCCCTTTGTGTGCCCTGCTGGCCAGGAGGCACAGACTGACACAGCTCAGGCCTTGGCTTCAGTGCACACCCATGCCCCCACCCTCCGCTGTAAGGGCCTTTAGGCAGGGCCATTAGCATTTGGGGACCCTCTGGAGACAAGGTGGTGGCAAGAAGGAAACAAGTGTGGCTGTTGGCTGCTGGGGCACCAACATCATCCAAGTGCCTGTCTGGGCCCAGCTCTCCCGAACTGCTCTTTGCCAGGTAGAAGCAGCAGCAACAGGCTGCACAAACAGTCCGCCCGGCAACCACTTGCAGGGTGAGCTCCACAAGTCAACCCGGCTCAGGGGCCGAATAGTTTCCTGAACTGATGAGGTGGGATTGCCTAGATCAGCGGTCACCAACCGGGGGTCTGCGGACCAGTGGTGGTCCGTGAGGTCCAAAAGGTTGGCGACCACTGGCCTAGATGGCTAAGATCCCTTCTAGCTCCAAAACTTTAGGTCTGCAAATTCAAAAAAGAGGCCATATGCTCTAGTCGGGTAGTTCAATTGGTTAGAGTGTCGTCCCAATACGCGCCAAGGATGTGGTCAAGCACATGTAAAAATCAACCAATGAACGCATGGATATGTGGAACAGCGTATCAATGTTTCTCTCTCTCTCTCTCTTTCTCTCTCTCAAATCAATGAAAAAAAAAGGCCATATGCCCATTTCTTCTTCCAAAAAAAGGTTTACTATCTCAAGCAAAAGTGGAAACCTAAGGGCAAAAGAGGTAGGTCTAGCTACCCTTCCTTCTAGCTCCCAAAGTTCTGCGTGAACGTAGAGACCTAATAATGCCTGGAATTCCCAGCATAGCAGCCAAGTTTTCCACAAGACTGCACCGCGCCCACCAGCTAACAGTCTGAGCCAATCCCTATCTACAGACACAGTAATTCTAAAACGCCAGCATCCTCCAGAGAGAGGCTCCAGGCTATGGGCCGCACCTCTTCAGGAGCCCTCCCCAAAGGGCTTGACTCAACTCGGGCCCTGACACACAAACGCCATCGGCTACAAAACAGGAGGGCAGGCTTTCAGGCCTGTAAAGGGCAAAAAGACAACAGCAGCCTGTCTTCTCTGTTCATGGTCGGCTCTGTGACTGGAACAGGCCTGGGCGGCTGGGACTGGGGGCAAGCGGGTCCACCCTGTCCAGTTGGACAGGGTCTGGAAAGGAATGTAATCACACAGGGCGGAGACTGGAAGGCAGCGCGGCTGCGGCCCAGACCCAGACTGAGCGCGGCATGTGGAGTCACTCCTTGAGTGGGTGGCGGCAGATCTGTGAGGTCCCCGGTATGCACCATGGGGATGAGGGGTAAGGATTTTAAGAATGCTGACTAGGGCTCCCAGTTCCTTTACAGAAGAGTGAGTTTGTCCGGGTAGCTCAGTTGGTTAGAGCATCGCCCCCATACACCCAGGTTGCAGGTTCCATCCCCAGTCGGGGCACACACAAAAATCAACCAATGAATATATAAGTAAGTGGAACAACAAATTGATGTTTCTCTCTCTTTCTAAAAAAATTTTTTAAAAAAATCAATCAATAGTATTTTTTTTAAAAAGTGAGTTTGGCTGTTGCACTCCTTAGAGAGGTCAATGCATTTCATTGGTTGCATCGGGAAGGATAGAATCTTGGAGGACTAATCCCTCTCATCACCGGAAGGCAAGTTTCAGCCAGTTAACTGGGAAACTTAACCAAGTAGGTTAAGGAACCTCCTAGTGCGTCTGCAGAGGGATTCAGGGTCCAAATCTCATTCCAGGGCTCCCAGGTCACCACGCGACCGACGCTGCCTCCTGTACCCCCTAAGGCAGCCAGGCCCTGAGAGAGGGGTTCCAGCCAATGGGCCTGCGGTTCCCAACTGAGCCCTGTGGTCCCCAACTGGGCGGGCGCGCAGATCCTCCCTGCCCCACACAAAACCAGCGGCCCCAGGGCAGGCAGCGCAGCACCAGCAAAAGAATGGCTACAAGTTTCACCATATTTTCCACTTAAGAAACAGGCCCTTGCGGGAAGGAAGGGATGGTTTGAATGAGTTAGGTGCGTCCAGTCTGGGGGAAGCATGTGGTTCTGAGGGAAGTGGGGCTGGGCTCTGCGGGGATGGGCGGGTGGGTTGGGAACTAAACTGATAACCTAGAAAATTCTGGGAGCTGACAGACCCAGGAGAGGGGGAGCCGCTGATGCCCACCCCAGAGCCACAGGTGGGTTTCCCATGAAGCGGCAGAGGACCCTGTCTCCTGCCCCCTGTCCCCTGTCCCGGCCCG